GACTCCAGTACTTGAGAGAATTAGCAGTGCTGGAAATCATCTATAGTAACATCTATAGTGACATCCCCAAAGACCCAGAGGATGTTCCTTACATGATGGCCATGTGAGGAAGGTGGTTCAAAGCTCCCCTGTGCCATATTTTAACAGCCTGGTAACAGTATATTACCCAAAGATGGATCCACCAACTGTAGAGGTGATGTCCTCCTGGCTTTGAAATGTAGAAGAAAGTCTAGGCACTTCCTCATTCCCACAGGCAAACATCTCAGCTCTCAGGGGCAGCCCAAGAGATCGGTCCCCTCCTGCCCCAGTCAGAGGGAAAGGAAGCCCCAAGCGCAGGCCACGTGGTGAACTCTGGTTCTTTCTGCGTGACCGGGGGAAGACATGAAGAAGTGGGATGGTGAACCCACCTCTAAGCTGGAAGCCTGAGTATGTGAATTAAGAGGGAAATGTTAAGAAGGGGTCACCCAGGAAAGCTGTCCATGTAGTTGCCACAGAGACCCAAGAAAGAAAACAGTGACCTCTCAGATGTAAGAGGACTGAAATCAACTTCTCTGATCCTGGTGAGGGGACCACTGGTCTGGCATCACAATGGTCAGACAGTGAATACTCTGACCTGGAACAGGAATAGAGGGTCCCTGCCTTCAGCCAGGAGGAGGAAAGGGATGATTTGGTCTACTGGACTGTGTGGATTCAATGGCCTGGCACAGGTATAAAGCTTCTGTAGATATGGGTGTATGGTGCATATCGCGGGTGGGGTTTGTCCCCGCGAAGGACCCTCGAGCACATCTTGTATAGGAGACGAGCCCCCAGATAGGTGACTCACAAAATGGCGTTTATTAAAACAAGGTGTCAGTTTATATAGAGGGGTACATAGAAGGGTCTCGAACAAGGGTGGGATTCTTGCCAGGGGCACGAATCCTAAGGGTCAGAGATAAGGGAAAATGGAGGGATTGGCTGCAGGGATATGTCCAGCCATATAGGGAGATTTGGGAGTTAGGGAAGGAAGGGAAGGAATGGTGAGGGGCACAGATAGGGGGGTCCTGCAGGGGTCTGTGGAAGCGGCGTCTTATCGCTGGATCTCAGGCGCTTCCTGCAGTTGCAGCTGTCAAAGCACCTCTAGATCGATTTCTTCCTCCGAGGTTTCTTCATAGCCTTTCTGTATCTGTCTCCATTCTCTGTAGGCCTCTGCTGCTCCACCCTCGACAGGTGCACATTAATGCCATTGAGGCACAGAAGTGCAGAACTCATCTGGATCTCTGGAGTGATAGGGGGATGCCAGGAATTATCAGTGTTGGAGGCTGAAGTGAGTTTAGCAGGGATCGAGTGGGAAAAGCACCCCATTGTGACTGGCCCAGAGGCCTCTTGTATACTTGGCATTGATTACCTCAGGAGGGGAGACTTCAAAGATCCAAAGGGGTATGGATCGGCTTTTGGTGTAACTACTGTAGCTACAGAGAAGATCAAACAATTATCTACCCTGCCTGGCCTCTCAAAGGATCCTTCCATCATGGGATTGCTGCAAGTCAAAGACCAACAAGTGCCCATTGCTACCAGAACAGTGCACTGGTGGCAGTATCGCGCCAACCGTGACTCCATAATTCCCATTCAGGAACTAATTCATCAACTGGAGAAAAAGGGAGTGATTAGCAGGACCCGCTCACCCTTCAACAGCCCCATATGGCCAGTGCGGAAGTCTAATGGGGAGTGGAGGCTGACAGTGGACTATCGTGGCCTGAATGAAGTCACACTGCCTCTGAGCGCTGCTGTGCCAGACATGTTGGAACTTCAGTATGAGCTGGAGTCAAAGGCAGCCGAGTAGTACGCCACAACTGATATTGCCAATGTGTTTTTCTCCATTCCTCTGGCAACAGAGTGCAGGCCACAGTTTGCCTTCGCCTGGAGGGGTGTCCAGTATACCTGGAATCAACTGCCCCAGGGGTGGAAGCACAGCCCAACCATCTGCCATGGACTGATCCAGACTGGAACAGGGGGGAGCTCCAGAGCACCTGCAAAATATTGATGATATCGTTGTATGGGGCAAAACAGAAGTTTTTCAGAAAGGGAGGGAAATAGTCCAAATTCTTCTCAAAGCTGGTCTTGCCATAAAACAAAGCAAGGTAAAGGGACCTGCACGGGAGATTCAGTTCTTGGGAATAAAATGGCAAGATGGACGCTGTCATGTGCCCATGGATGTAGTAAAAAAAATAGCATCTATGTCTCCACCAGCTAACAGGAAGGAAACACAAGCTTTCCCTAGGCCTTGTGGGTTTCTGGAGGATGCACATTCCAGGTTACAGTCAACTTGTGAGCCCCCTCTATCGAATGACCCAGAAGAACCATTTTGAATGGGGCCTTGAGCAACAACAGGCCTTTGAGCAGATCAAACAGGAGATAGCTTGTGCAGTAGCTCTGGGACCTGTTCAAACAGGACCAACTGTGTGAAATATCCTCTACACAGCAGCTGGAGAGCATGGTGTCACCTCGGCAGAAAACACCAGAAGAAACCTGAGGTCAGCCATTAGGGTTTTGGAGCCAGGATTATTGAGGATCAGAAGCCCACTACACACCAACTGAAAAGGAGATATTAGCAGCCTATGGGGGGTTCAAGCCACCTCACAAGTTGTTGGAACAGAAGCATGTCTCCTCTTGGCACCGCATTTGCCCATGCTGCACTGGATGTTCAAAGGTAACATCCCCTCAAGACATCATGCAACCAGTGCTACATGGAGTAAATGGGTAGCTTTGATCACACAGCGATCCCAAATGGGAAAACCCAATTTCCCAGGAATCCTAGAAGAGATTATGGACTAACCAGAAGGCAGGGATTTTGGAGAACTGCCTGAAGAGGTGACTTGTGCCCAAGAAGCACCACCATATAACGAGTTACCAGAGAACAAAAGAAGCTATGCTCTATTCACTGTTGGATCTTGCCGTGTGGTAGGAAACCATCAGAGGTGGAAAGCTGCTGTGTGGAGTCCCACGAGAAGGGTCGTTGAAGCTGCTGAAGGAGAGGGCTAGTCAAGCCAGTTTGCAGAAGTGAAAGCCATCCAACTAGCCCTAAAGATTGCTGAACGAGAAAAGTGACCTGTGCTATACCTCTCTACTGACTCCTGGATGGTGGCTAACACCCTATGGGGGTGGCTACAGCAGTGGAAGAAGGCCAATTGGCAACGCAGGAGTAAACCCATCTGGGCTGCTGCATTGTGGCAGGACATCACTGCACGGGTGGAAAACGTGACTGAAAATGCGTCATGTTGATGCTCACAAGCCCAAAGGTTGTGCCACTGAAGAACATCAGAACATTAAGCAGGTGGATAAGGCTACCAAGATTGGAATAACTCAGGTAGACTTAGAGCAGAAGGGTGAGCTATTTATAGCCCCATGGGCCCATGAAATATCAGGACATCTAGGAAGAGATGTGACATACAGATGGGCTCGTGACTGAGGGGTAGATCTGACCATGGAGGTCATCACACAGGTCATTCATGAATGTGAAACATGTGCTGCAATTAAGCGAACCATGTGAGTAAAATCTCCCTGGAATAGAGGGCAGTGGCTGGGTTTCCAATATGGTGAGGCCTGGCAAATTGACTACATTGGACCACTGCCATGAACATGCCAGAGCAAGAGCTAAATACTTACCATAGTGGAGGCAACAACTGGCTGGCTGGAAACATATCCTGTAAACCAGGCCACTGATCGAAACACCATCTTAGGCCTCAATAGACATATTCTGTTGGCAACATGGGACCTCAGAGAGAATTGAATCAGATAATAGGACTAATTTTTTGAACAATCTCATAAGTTCTTGGGCAAAGAAACATGACATCAAGTGGATCTATCATATCCGTTATCACCCATGAGCCTCTGAGAAGATTAAGAGGTATAATGGACTGCTGAAAACCATGTTAAGAGCATTAGGTAATGGGACATGGAAGCATTGGGAGGAAAATTTAGCTGAGGCCACTTGGCTGGTCAACACTAGGGGATGTGCCAACCACCCTAGTCCTGCCCAAATAAAACCCCTACACACTGTGGGAGGGGATAAAGTCCCAGTACTACATATGGGGAATTGGCTGGGGAGGTCAGTGTGGGTTTCTCCTCTTATGAGTACTACACTGCCCCTTGGCTGAAAGCAGCATGACTGAGGCTAAGGCCGTTGGCTGTACCAGCCTGAGATGCACAGGCAGAGCCTGGCTCACTTCGGTCTGCCACATAAAAGGCTTTAGTTACAGATGACACATATTAAGTCCTATGAGGAAAGGCTGAGGGAGCTAGGGTTGTTTAGTCTGGAGAGGAAGAGGCTCAGGGGTGACCTCATCACTCTCTACAACTACCTGAATGGAGGTTGTAGCCAGGTGGGGGTCGGTCTCTTCTCCCAGGCAATCGGCAATAGGACAAGAGGGCACGGGTTTAAGCTCTGTCAGGGGAGGTTTAGGTTGGATATTAGAAAGAAGTTCTTTACAGAGAGGGTAATCAGGCATTGGAATGGCCTGCCCAGAGAGGTGGTGGATTCAAGGTCCCTGGAGGTTTTTAAGACGAGGCTGGATGTGGCACTGAGTGCCATGATCTAGTAATAATTACACTTCTAAGTGTAATTAGACCCAAAGGGCTCTCTTTTGAAACAGTTAATAATTTGAATAATCCCTATTTTTATATTTATTTTTTCCCAACCTCAGATCTGATATATATAGTTGTATAACTACAAAAAAAACCCCAGTCTTAATAATAACTGAGAATAACTGAGAATACTTCAGTGTCCCTTTTCTGCCCATAAAAATCAATCCTAATGAGACATCTGAATCTTTTTAAATAGAAAACAACTAATTTCTATAGGCAAGTTTGCAAATAGCTAATTAGAAAAATGCTTTAATGGTGTGGACATCAAATGCTACTTAAATTTTTTGTTGATGGCTTTCTCAATCTCTAATATATAGTGTATCATGTCAACCTTCTCACCCTTCATATGGGTTTTTATTAAAGCTATTAGTATATAATCATAGTATTAAGGAAATGCCTTTATTGTGACTATAATATTTCATTCTTCAACAGTGGCATATAATCTTCCATATTTATTCTGGACCTCCACGCTGTAAAATAAAAGCATATAGTTAAATATTTTTCACTAAAAGAATGGGAAATGGAGATCAAATCTTTTTCACTGTTCTAGATTAACAAATAGAGTTTTAGTTTTAATTTTTGATTTAGACATTGATTTTTAATTTGTATAGGAACATGCATAGAGTGTCAAAGTATCAGCATATACCCATAACAACTCCATTCAGTTCAGGGGAGAATACAAAAAGATCAACACCTACAACCTATAATTATAGCTGCTTCCAATTCTCCCACTCTGAAGAAACATGACTTACTCACTTTAGAAAGGTCTGATAAACACAGCAGTAGTAAAGAGAAGTTTTAGAATTATTTTCACTGCCCAAATTCCCAAGTAAAAACAAAGCCAAGGTCAGCCATTACAATCTTTATGAGAAATGAGAAAGGTATTCAATTCATTATTTTGCCAACAAAATTATTTTACAACTTACCATTAGAAAATTTATGCTAGAGGTTGAGTGTATTACTATGGAAAATAAATAATTTTATTTCTAATTATAATACCCTACTGATATACATGCAAGAAAACTGATTTTCTCTATTAATGTAAGGACACCTACAGTGTGACCATAATTTAACAGTTATGTGTCTTTTCATTTCAAACTCACACCCATCTCTCCAGTTCTTCATATTTTGTGCATTCTCCTTTTTTAAGCATCACTGTTTACAACTGAAAATTTTTACAGTACAAAAGCAGGTTTTTCTTGCCTTTTATATACAATGCTGTATTTGCAAATATTGCAGAAAATATTGATATCAAGTTTAATAAAGTGTTTCCACTACTAGAAATACAAGAGGTAACTTACTAATACATAACTTATAAAAACCAGCTTGAGGAATATTTTGGACTTCAGTCACCTGGTAACAGCCTTTGCTGGTCTAAAAACAGACTTGTGCTCCTGTCCAGCATATTCAAATTACACATTAAACAGCTGTTACAAAACAGGTAGTGACTGTGATTAATATAGGCTACAACTATCACAAAATGTCTGCATGTCTGTTTTAAGTCTGTATCTCTCTAATCAGTGATACTGCAAGCTAGTAATTAGTGAGAGTTGGGTACCTTGTGTATTAAAATTTTGTAGTTTAGGTACTGTGCATCAAAGCAGTGAAAACTCCAAGTATACACTTGCCAAAAATTACAATGTAATACCATATTTTAAATTTGGAAGAAGGTGTAGAAATAAGAGAAATGCTAAGTAAATACAGACAATACACACCAACAAATGAAACTTACCTGAATGTATTCAATCTCTTCATCTGACATTAGTTTCCGTCTGTATTTCTGAGGTAAGGTTCTTGTTAATTCAGAAGTGTCTGGTATACCTTGTACTCTATGAACAGGTGAAATATTTTGAAGTGCTGGTGATCTGCCTCCTATAGACTCCTGTGCTTTTGAAGCATCAAGAGATGGCATACTTGTTTGCAGAGATTCCAGTACTGAAATCCAGATTGCAAAACCATTACAGAAATATAACTAGACTGTAAAATTAATTAGTCAGCAGCCAATAAAAGTTACCAGTTATTGACAATGTTCTTCATTATAACAAATACTTAAAAGAATTAAAAGATACTCTACTTCTCACAAGCTGTTTTTATTGTTGTTAAATATACCAAAAACACAGTAAAAAAATCCTGAAAGTAAAAGAAAGCATATTTGAGTGGCAGACATACTGATGTGGAAACAGAAGATAAATCAGCATAGATCCTAACAAAGGCTTTTTCACTGGGAAGCTGGACTTGCAGAAGCAGCATAAAGTATTAAATGTGTGCATGGAGGGGGTTACGTAAAAAGATAACTAAGATAAATAACTAACATCCACTAAGATTATGCTTTTTGTTAATTGCAACTATAAAGACAAACAAGTGAAAAAGAGGTAGAGGCTTACAGAAAGATAAAGCTCACAACTGTGACATACCACGACATGCAATACAATGCTGTACCCATTTTTAATATTACAAAATGGCATCAACAAAGAAGGGTCCCAAACAGAGCAAGGAGGAAGAGAACCCACCAGAAGGAGCACAACCTGAACAGGGTGCATGCCATTAAGCTGAAATTTTAAAATTTAAATAAGAAGGCAAAGGGAACAGAAGATGAAAACAGAAGAAAACAACACAACGATGATAATAGTTTTGGCTAGTAATGACTACAAAGTATTTTTGCTTTAAGAAGTAACACATCTTATACATGAAAAATAAAGAAAGTTTCTCCAAATTTGTTCTATATACCACATAAATGTTTAGAGATTTGCCTAAGATTTTCTTTTATTGTATTTTTAAAAGTCTGAAGTGTATTTGGAATAGAAGCATTAGCCAATCAAAAACCCCAAGTCAAGACCTGACTTAATACTGCTGTTGCTTAAACTCAGATACAGTCCCTACTACAGTTTTCCCTTCCCTGTTTGAGACCATCATGTTGCAGTAGTAATATGATAATAGAATTTGGCTGGCCTTTCAAGCACTCACATCCCTAAAAGTATAGTCTTGATCTGCAGAGCTCTGTTTAGCTATGTAGAAGCAACAGTCTGGTATAGTGAAACAGTTATTGCTACAGCATTCAAGCCAAGTGAAGTAGATTGCAATTTACTAGTGAGGCAACAAAAACTGATTAAGGCAGAAAGGCCTAACATACTTAAAATATATAGCCACAAAAATCTTGTGATGCAAAGATAAGCATGAGCTAACTAACATGATTTTAAGCCTTTAAGAAAGTAATTTACTGGCATGAAAGACAGTTGGCTGAACTGGGCACAAGATACAAAATTCTGACTGAAAGTTATGGCAGAAAATAGTTCCTGAAGAATTCACAGGTAAGTCAGAAGTGGTACTGTAGATACTTTGCAATGTTAATGGATAAACTAAACTGAAAGCTAAATCCTAAATATAATACTGTGGCAAATACATGGTATGGTATAATTTCTAAACAAATGAGAATAACAACAGAGCTTTTTAAAACATCTACTACATTTTTTTCAAATGCTTTATTCACTCAAAAGGAATATTAAAACAAAATACAGCTCATTAACTTTGATGTTCTAAACATAACAGTATTGAGGTTCCTATAAATATAAACATAGCTGTAGGTGTAAAAATTAATGTCAAAGATTGCAATGAAGTTAATTTTTTCTCAGCATTCATTATTAGCACAAAGAAACACTTCTTAAAATGTACAGTGGAATGGCTCTTAGCCATAAATCAGGGTTTTAAATACTGTAGACATCACACACTCCAATTAGGAAAAGAAAGGATGAGGAAAACGCAACATCATTTTTTGCAAATATCACCAAATATCTAATGCTGTTTCAAATTCACTTGGACACTATCACTTTAGGCAAATATTAGTATTTTCAAAAATGTGACCTTTTATATAAATAGGAAAACACTAGAAATCCTTGTGAATCTGCCTTGATCAAAAAAAATAAAGGCATGCACGTCATATTTATATTCCCACGGTATTATGTATATTTCCACAGTTGTATAGAGTCTGAAAAGGAAGCCTTCAAACTAAAACAACTACGATTCAGAAACCCTGCTCAAAATCAGTTGAGTCGCATCATCAAAGCAGAAAAATTGTGCGCTGGTTCTTATATAAAACAGTTTATGCAAAGAAATATGACATAAGTTGTATCTATAGATTAAATACTTACTTTTAGGTCTGGGACTACTTTTTCTGTCTGGGAACTTTATTAATGGAGTATGTGGCTTGACTACCTAGAACAAGACAATGTAGTAGGAGAAACAGAGAGAATAAAATATATTTCTAGACAAACATTAACTTTACAATAAAATGGAACATACAACATATTAAACAACCACTTCTATACTGCTGCTTTGTGCACCAGCAATCTGATAAAATTATTACTTAAATTCTATTTTTACCCAAGGGGAAATTTCACCTTTAAAGGCACTCCCCCACCCTAGTGTTCAGAACAGGAAAAAGCATTCTCTTCCTTTTCTCACAGCAATCAGTGTGTATGCAGAAATAGTTACCACAGCAGCAAAAATGGAATGATAAAATTTTAGCACATGAAATTGCTAGCAGTGCTCTGCCTGTATGTATTTGTTCAGCTGGCTGGCTGGGATTGACTAGTTACACTAAGAAAAAAAACTATATATTTTAGTTTGGTATTCAAAGCCACTGTGCTTATTTTTGAAATATGTCTTTTCAAAAACTCCATGTTTCACGCTCACCTTGAAGGGAAGAAGGATGGCTTAGAAAGGAGATACTGGTTAGTGCCCTCGCCTCTTGAAGAGCCACCCTAAAGGAGCAGCCTGCAGTCTGCCCAATAACATCCTTGGGTACCAGAATAACCAGGCACCGGAATCAAATGACCGGTGCCACCGGGCCGGCCCCGCCGCATGCTTTTTCCCCCGCGCCAAGGACACCGGCCTCTCCAGCGGTGCCTCTGGCCTCGGCCACCTCAGACCCCGGCGGCCACGCGCGAAGCGAGGCCTACCACCCGCTCCAGGCACCATGCTCCCGGCCCCAGCCGCCCCAACCACCTCCCGGTCCGCAGGCCGAGCACCGCTACCTGTACGACTCTAGTGGCGGCCACCATCTTACTGCCCATGGTGACGCCACGTCCCAGGGCCTGAGGAGCAGCACCAGGCCACGCCCACTATGAGCGGGGCCCGGAGAAGGGGCTGTTTGAGGCAGTGCCAAAATACAAATAAAACAAAATAAAGGGGCAACACATCAATTTTTATTATTTTTATTTTTTATTTTTAAAAATCGCTTCAAGTAGCTCTACGTTTTACTTGAATTCATTCAAAACACAGCAGATCCACCTTTTAAAAGCTGACACTCACTTATAAAGAGTGCCAATGTTTTTATTTAACATATTACTGTGGTGCGTTGACCTTGGCTAGACATCAGATGCCCGCCAAGCTGCTCTATCCCTCCCCCTCGTCAGCAGAACAAGGGGGAGAAAAAGACGACGAAAGGCTCGTGGATCGAGATAAGGACAGGGAGATCACAGCAATTGCCGTCACAGGCAAAAGAGACTCCACTTAGGGAAATTAATATAATTAACTGACAATCAAATCAGAGTGGGGTAATGAGAAATAAAACCAAATCTTAGGACACCTTCCTCACACCCCTCCCTTCTTCCTGGGCTCAACTTCACTCCCGAATTCTCTACCTCCTCCCTGAGCGGTGCAGGGGGAGAGGGAACAAGGCTTGCGATCGGTTCATCACGTTATCTCTGCCGCTCCTTCCTCATGCTCTCCCTGTCTGACCATTCCGGAGCCACTCTGGCAGTCACACTCCCACCACCAGAGACTCTAAGTGCTGGGACTGAAGCCCCTTCGCAGCGGGCGGCTCCAGTGAGCTGATGGATGCCCGCTTGACTCCCTACACACCCCACTCACACGCAGTCAGACCAGGCTTCCTTACCGGCTAGAGCCCAGGTTTCCCATAGCAGTCTCAGACATCTGGATCCTTACAGCAATTTATTCGCGGCGCAGTAACACAGAAAAAGCTCGAGCAGCTGCCTCCGAGGAGGGACCCCGTGTAATAAACTATATTTTAGAGGGGATTCTTTTTTGTTAAACTTAGTAAAACTTCAGGACATTGATATGTGATTTCCGTGTGTATTTCCCACATATCTGTTAACTACCTCTAACAAGCTGGCATTTGTTCTCGAGGCTGATAAGAAAGGGGGGAGGGAAGTCTGGCACTGTAATCAAACGGCACCAGCTGGGGACACTGAGAAGCTTCCTTTAAACAAGAAGTCAAAGTGATTTATATAGACGATAAGACTGGAAGGGGAGGAAAGAATACCTACTAAAGGCGCATGCTCCAAGCCGGGTTCATCTAGCGGACATCGAGGAAGACTAAAAATCTTCATCACAGAGACCCCGGCCCACAAAGAAACCCCCAGACCACGGACGCCGGTAACACAGCCCGGGAACATGCATGGGGAAAACTTTGCAACTGAGCATGTGCAAAAAGCATGCCCCGGACTATGTATGGATAAGAACCTATGTACTGAGCATGTCTGGACGGCGAACCGGGGGGTTCAAAAGGGGAAGTTTGAGAGCCTGAGGGGGGGCGGTGGCGAGCTGTGAGAGAACTTTCTTTGGTTCTAAACAGCCCCCCCCCCTCCCGGCGCGCCGATTGTTTATCTACCGCTTACTAATAAATTTGCTTACTATTGTAAATTGGCTCCTTCAATTTCTTTAAGGCATTGCTGGTAACCTATAACACCCCGTACAACCGAATCCCTGGGCTTTTATACTCTCACAGTCTAAGCGCGCAAAAGTCTGAAGTCTTCCTGCTGAGTCCTCCACTCCTGCTGTGTCTCTCAGCGTCCAGTCACCTGGCTGAGCAAAAGAGTCGGCACCAGTTCACGACCTCTTGCCTCGGGCTCCTGCCACCCAGAGCTCAATCTGCAGCTTGCAGAGCAGCTGCACACCGAGCTACCTGCCCTAAATGTATTCCTCAACATTCCTCTAGTCCAACATGGAGTCCCACCCATGGGAGACAGTCTTCCACAAACTTAACCACGTGGGTACCCCACAGGATCCCAAGTCTTGCCAGAAGATCTGCTCCAGCATGGGATCCTCTCCACAGGGTCATAGCTTCCTTCAGGTGCATGCACCTGCTCCAGCATGGGGTCCTCCACGGGCTGCAGGTGGATAACTGCTCCTCTGTGGACCTCCATGGGCTGCAGGGGGACAGCCTGTCTCACCGTGGTCTTCACTGTGGGCTGCAGGGGAATCTCTGCTCCAGTGTCTAAAGCACCACCTCCTTCTTCACAGACCTTGGTGTCTGCAAAGTTGCTTCACATATTCTCATTCCTTTCTTCTGGCTGCTGTTGTGCAACAGTTTTTCCCCTTCTTAAATATGTTCTCACAGAGGTGCTACCACTGTTGCTGATTGGGTGTTAGAAAGATAAATTAGTGTCAGTAGAATTGCCTTGTTAAGGTTTAGGGCTTGACATGCTTCAATGATCTCAGACCTAGAGGGAGGTTGTGATAAGAGATTTTTCTCAAACCCCTTGTGTTTGATTTGTCTGTCAGTGCCCGAGGAAAGCCAAGACACTTGTGCCCAACCAGTCTGTCAGTGATCCATTATGAGGACCATTCACTGAGCAGTCCCCTGGATCAGAGGGTTGTTTTTCTGACTTGTTCAGGGACACATGCTAACAGCAGAAGAGAGACCTCTTCCCAGGTCTCCACAGTTGAGTGTGTTACCCGCTGCGGGTCCATATTGGAACTGGCCTGCACTGGCTGTCAGAACTGGGGGAAGCTTCTGGCATCTTCTTACAAAAGCCTCCCCTGTAGCCACCCTGTGACCAAAACCTTGCCACACAAACCCAATACAATTACACACTATGATGTAGTCAATTTTCTTCAAACATGAAGGCAACTGTCAATGTAAAAATACATTTAAAATACTGCTTAGCTGCATAGTTAACAAGATGAAGCCACCTCTTCCACTTTACCAGTTTCTCTAGGATTTTTTGCCATGTGGGACAGCAGCTACAGGTTGCATCTACTCCTGGATGCTTTGCTTAACTAATCACCATATAGTACATGCCAAAGTGATAGTTAAAATTAAGAGTATAAACTTTTTGGTGGTTAAAATTATACATAATACTTTAATTAAAAAAAAAGGCAAAAACGAAACACTAACTTTTTTTTTCCAGTTTGAGCTTTCTACAGGAGCAGAGTGGGGTCATGGATCCTGTCTGAGCTCTGCAGCATCCTCCACAGGGATTGCTGGTGTGCAGAGGAAGAGCTGTACTGGGGTACTTCTCCCTCCCAGAAGTGAGGTTAGAAATTATAGATCTTTGGTTTAAGAACCATAGAATCATAGAATGGTTTGGGATGGAAGGGACCATTAAAGATCATCTAGTTCCAACCTCCCTGCCATGGGCAGAGATGCCACTCACTAGTTCAGATTGCTCAAGGCCCCATCCAACCTGGTCTTGAACAGGGACAGAACAGCTATGAAGTAGGTCTTCTGATAGTTTTATCAGCTATGCTACCTGTGTAAGGATAAAATACCCTTTCCAGAAGATTTATGGCAAGGAGATGAGAGCTTGTTTTGCTTAAGAAAGCTTTCCTGCCTAAGAAAAAGCACCTTTCTCAGATAGTTTGGATGTTTTCTCCTCCTGCATTCCAGAGAGGTTTTCATGCTCTCTCTCTGGTATGAGGAGAGATAAACCCTCACAGACATGTTGCAGGACTCCTTTCGAGGGAGAGCCAGGGGGAGTTAGAAACAATAAAGCCCAACCTGAGGAAGAACAGAGGGGCATGTCTTTCTCAGGCCCGGTGTTAGAAGCACAATTGTGATTTTCTTCGTTTAGTGTTCTTGACTTTGAAATAAATTTTCCTGAATTTCCACTACCTGGCATTTTGGGGGTACTTGCGTGTTATCTTACTTCACAACCTGTTTGAACATTTGTTGTGTATCAGGAATTAAATTTCACTTCAAAGAGTTGCATGGTCACATTCTGAGTCTCTAGAGATAAAAACTTCCAGAAAGGTTACATTTTCAAATTCTTAAAGTGTACTTTCATGGCACATATTAATCTATATCAAGTTTAGTATATTGATTACATACACTGTATAAAATTAAACACGATTTCTCCAGACTCACAGAAAAGACTGTAGAACAATTGCCCTTAAAGATAGATCTTCTGCCCAGTTCTCTGCTTCTTGTATCTCTTATTCTAACGTGTCAGTCTCATTCAAGCACAACAGCTCATTTTTACAGTATTTCATATTCTTTTCAGAATTTTTATAACTGTATTGAGAGTTTTGTAGTTGCTTCAGATGTAAATTAATATTGCTACAAGAAGCACTTTAAAACAGGAACTGTATATTCAAATATAAAACAAAGTAAATTTAACTAACAGTCTTTTCCTTTCAATGTCATTCAATTTCTGTTCCATCTCACCTGCTTGCTGAAAGAAAAAAAAGTATTTCCTATATCCTTGTCTCCATTAAATATTGATAGGGCAGCTCTAGAAGCAGAATTTCTTACATATTCACTTCAAGTAATAATTTCAATAATTTTAACATCAGTATAAAACACATCCTTTGGGCCACATTCTTTGGTTTAAATGACTTGCACATTCCTGTTACTTTCAAATTGCACCCCTGCTCCTATTGATGTTGGCAGATCTGCAAAACTGCAACAAAAGCTACAACTGACATTTACCTGCTGAGATTCAAGTATTGCAGTGCTGAGCAGTATTATGCATTTCATAGTTTCTAAGATCAGTCTAAGGAAGAAAACAGTTACATACCTTAAGATCATTAATATGTGTCAACAGCATAAATGTTTAAGCAAAGTTATTTGGATTAAACAAACAAACAAAAAAATAAAACATATCTCCCCACACCATTTTCCCTAAGACCAAAATAAAGCATATCATGGTTTAACCCCAGCTGGCAACTAAGCCCCACACAGCCTCTCCCTCACTCCCCCTCTGGTGGAATGGGAGAGAAAATCAGAAGAGTAAAATTGAAAAAAAAAAGTGGGTTGAAATAAAGACAGTTTAATAAATAAAACAAAAGCTGTGCATGCAAGCAAAGCAAAACAAGGAATTGATTCACCACTTCCCATAGGCAGGCAGTTGTTCAGCCATCTCCAGGAAAGCAAGGGT